ACTTGTTAAAAAGGATGCAAGAAGGACTGACTGTGAATGAGCAAATGATGGCTCGGGGCGCGTAAAACCCCTCTTGTAGAGGTTCTGATCTTGGCTCCCTGGCCCATCCCCACTTGGTCACGTTCTGCCCTTTGTAATTTCTTCCATAGTTTCAACCAGACATTTTATTTGCTTTGTCTAAAGCTTTTGTACCATTCTGGAAATTAATTAGTTATCACATGCCACCCTATATGTCAGAGATATGTGCACATGGCTGGCAAGACATGTTGGGGGATAATGGCTTTTACCATCAGTTAGAGGACTCTGGTGATTCCATCCTCTTGAAGGCAGCAAAGTTGTTTTGAAAGGCAATGTAAAGCACGCAGAAGAAGCTATATGAAACAATAGGAAGAAAAGGGGAGACAGGGAAGTCCATGACTCTGAAACCAGCTTGTCTGTCCCTCCAGGGGAATCAAAATTAGGGCAGGAATTTATGAAGCATGTTTCCTTATAGTTCATAATTCCTGGTCCTGTCCGGGGCCCCACACTCTGGCATTTACTAAATGGCAATGTTTTGTGAGAACATTTCTCACCAAAGTGACCAGTTAGAGATAGGAAGACCAATACAGGAGTTTTCTTAACACAGAGAGAATTTCATTCTCAATTTAAAGCCCCCCCAACATCTGCTATATGCGGGAACTGTTAACACACAAGCGCAGATGCTCTCACTCCTCCTCTCTGGACGAGCAGCCCTAGGCGCTCACCCAAAAGGGAACCGCACCCATGGCCAGCCGACCACTTGCTCAGTCTCTGGAGCAGCCCCTCGAGCTTTCCGAGGACTCCCGGCTGGAGGCTCAGCTTTGCAACCTCTGAACGATATATCCTCTCCAGGTGCTGGGCCTGTACAACACCTTGAATCCTGAAGCATCTGCCTCCCCTTGCTGCGTGCCCCAGGACCTGGAGCCCCTGACCATCCTGTACTATGTTGGGAGGACCCCCAAGGTGGAACATCTCTCTAATATGGTGGTGAAGTCCTGTAAGTGTAGCTGAGACCCCACCTGCGACAGAGAGAGAGGAGAGAGAACTGCCACTGCCTGACTGCCTGCTCCTCGGGAAACACAAAAGCAACAGACCTCACCTCGAGGCCTGGAGCCCACAACCTGCAGCTCCAGGAAAATGGCGGAGACGGAGGTTCCCTTTTGGAACATTTCTCTTTCTTGCTGGCTCTGAGAATCACTGTGGTAAAGAAAGTGTGGGTTTGGTGAGGGGGAGGCCGAACTCTTCAGAACACACAGGTTTTCTGTGATGTAGACAGAGGTGGTGGGGACGGAGGAAGAGGGATGGCAAGTCGACACGTCGTCCGGCAATGGGGTGCGGGATACCGAGGGAGGAAGGGCAGAGAACGGCTGGGCCAGGGCCAGGCTGGAAGACACTTCTGATCTGAGGTCAGATTTGCTCATTGCTGCCCCATGTCTGCTCTAGGAAATCTGGATTACGCTACACAAGGCAAGCATTTTTCTTCAGACAGGTTACCGAGACATGGTCCCAGCATTGTATCTCATGCTACCTGGGATTAAGGACAAATCTGCTATTTTTGCAAACCGTCCTCTTGACATCCATCAGCATCGAGGGTCATTACAGGGAGAAAGTCCAGGTCATGTAGTTCCCGGGCCACCAACTATAGTGGGCCTTGTGGATACGCTGAACTCAGCAGCAGAAGGTGGGAACGAACCCTCTCCTGCCAGCCCTCTGGGTCCCTCCTCTCGCCTTCTTCCTAGATCGTATTTCCCCTTGGACATTTGGCTAGACACCTTCCAGGTCAGGGTGCACATACCTGAATTTTGGGTCCGTGCAGCCTTTGGGGCATTATGGGTCCCCCCTCACCCCGAGACCCTGTGTTCACCTGGTGTTCCTGGAAGCAGGTGCTACCACGCGTGGGGCCTGGGGGGTGGGGGGGGAAGTTGCACGTGTGCCACACACTGACTTGGCCCCAGACGCGTAGACTGAGGTATAAAGACAAATACAAATATTACTCTCGAAATCTTTGTATAAATAAATATTTTTGGGGAATCTTGGATCGTTTCATCTGGAAGATTGCTTCTAGAATAGTAAAAGCCTTATTCTAAGGTGCACGTCTGACTCGGTAAATATCCTTACTTACTCTTTTCTTAATTCCATGTCCACACCTACTAATCGGAGGTAACTGGAATCTGGGGCAGAGAATCTCAAACCTCGAACACACTGCTTAGCGGGAATGCCCCTGACAGCAGCACACGGGGCTGCCTTCTGCTGAGAAGAACGCAATATCGTTTGTGTTTCCTTTTTCCTTTAAGTGTGTATTATTCTCAGACACACTGAGGCAGTGGCTCAGATTTGCAAAGTCCAGTATATGAATTGGACCTCCAGTTAACCATGGGCAAACATCACTTGGCATGAACACTTGTCTATGAAAATGTGTTGGTTTGGACATTCACTATAAGTTACCAAAATCATCATTTTAAAAAATCTCCTCTCACACTTTAAATCAGAGAATAAGAGAAACTGTCGGTGGCAAATGGCCTAAGAAGAAGCTGCCAATCGTGTTACCAGGTGAAGCCTAAAAGAGCTCCCAGGAGCCCCTTCTCAGACAACAGGCCTTGTCAGGGATCTGGGAATGGGACAAGGCAAGAAAAGCACGATCTTGCTGTTCCCTCCTGAGGTCACAGATCCCAAAGCAATGGAGAATTATACGTGGCCGCATGTCCACCCAAAGCAGCCATCTGTAGCGCGGAACCATCCAGCAGCTCCCGAAAACACATTCCTGTCTCTATTGAAATCACTTGACCACTCACTGGTAAAAACGTCTACGTGAAGCTAAAATTTGCAGGGCGCGGGATGTGGACGATTTATGGCCATGCATCTGTGTTTGGTCACCAAGACTTTCTCCTGCTTTGACCCTGCCCAGCCAGTCCTAAGGGCTTCTTTCTCAGCCTTCCCCCCACGTGGAACCCATTGACTTATACTTCAGAACCTACCTGTGTCCCTGCCCCCAAATCAAGGCAGGCTCGGTCATGCTCCCTCTTGCCCAAGGGAGCCAGTGGGTCTAGAGAGGGAACACGGCGTGCCCAGCCCTTTGGCCACGGGCCCTGGTGATCCCGACTATCAGAGTCCACTCACTTGGGTTGCCAGTTGCAAATTTCAGTGGGAATGAGAATCACCCAAGTGTTTATCAAAAACATACCATTTCAGGCTGCAACTCCAGAGATGTCTTTAGATCTGGGGTAGGGTCCAGGCTGCCTAAAAACTACATTTTGAGAAGCAGTGACCTATACCTGACATGATTGTTCTATATGTGAGCTTAACTAAGAGGGAAATAGTCTTTCTGGCCCTGGAATAGACTTTCCTTGTTACCCAACCTCATAGGACAGTGCTAAAACACTGGGCTAATGAACCAAGCCAACATGTTTCCTGAAGCATCCCAAAAACAGAACGCACTGGGATTCCCAATGTTCTTTTTATGTTAGAGTTCTGTTCTTATCTTAATCAGCACGTACAAATATGGGCAGGGGTCTGACTCCATCCTCCCCACTTCCTGTGTCACTTATAGGCACTACAGCAACTTGAACCATTGTCCATCTTCAAAAATACACGCTTGTTTTGGGGTAGGGTAAGGAGGGACCCTGGGAAAGCCACTGCTGCTGGAGAGGGGATCATGTGCTCTGTCTGGTTCATTATCAAGAGGGACCAGTAAAAATGACTTGAATGTATTTAGGTCAATGACAGGAGAGCTCTGGAGTCTTGTCTTACCTCCTGATCAGCACATGGAAAATGCAAGAAGATTAACTCGAGGGTTCAGCTCTGACTGGGTACTTAGGACAAGTCCAAGCACCCTAGTTGGTCTAAGTTCTCTACTGGGCTCACACCTTCTTATCCTTTCTCAGAAGGTCCATATGGTGAGTCTGCCCAAACACCTTATTTCCCAATTCTAAACATCAGCGGGGGACTAGAAAGGAATTCTAATTCGTCTCTAACCAATTCACAACCAAGTTAGCAAACAGTTACGTTGTCCTCAAACCACTAACCACAAGTCCCAGGAACATCTGTAACACACTCTCTCGTTTCTCCTGCAACCGACAGACCTCATCCTTTATAAGCAAACAAAACACTTCGATGTGCTGAAACCTTTGTTTTCATCCACTATGAAGGTGACAAAGTCCCTGTTCTCTCTGCCGTTGTGGGTGTTACTCTTCTTTTGGGCTTTCAAAGCTGAGTCTATAGTACATTGCTGAAGAAACCTCAGACTCTGGATTTTCACCCAAGAACTCCCTAGGGCCACTAAGCCAGTCCTTTGGTGGCCTCTGTTGCCCACCTTTCAACTTTTTCTCCAGCAGAAGCCAGAAAGAGGACCTGGGAAAGATGAGGTGGCCAGACAGCAGAGGACACGCAGGTAGCAAGCCCTCAGGCTGCGCTCCATCGCTCTGATGAGCTGTGTAGGTAAACAGTGTGTACTTGGATGGAGACACAGGCCACTGGGGGACCTGTCTGCTGTGGTCTGATGATGGAGGTGTTTGCACAGACCGGCCTCCCAGGTGCAGGAGCTGCCCTTGGGGAACAGCCTGGACCCCACCGTCTGCTGAAAGAAAACGTAAGAGTAAAACATCTCTCTATAGCTCACATTTCTAAAATGAAGTTTAAAAAATTGCTCACAAGGAAATAAAATGACAAGTTGGTCCTATTTCAGTCTCGTTTGTGAATACTGATTGTTGGGAAATTAGTAAATGGAAAAAAAGAAAATAAAAATAGAATTACTTTATTAATTTTAGAAATCAGTAATTCGAAAGGGCGCCTTTACCGTGGCTCAAGTGGTCAGTAGCACACCGACTTTCCTCCATTCCCTGGGAAACTCCTGATGGAGGCTTCCCGTCTCCCCAAACCCTCTGCAAAGGGAACGACTTTGGTAGCTAACGTTGCCGTGATTTTAGGCTTGTAGGAAGTAAAGATTAATACTGCAGTCTGGAAAAGAAGAGGAAGCGAAATGCAAATAGCCAAAGAGCCTCTTTTATATCATCTCTGTGTGGTAGCAGGGCAGGGACAGAGAAGACCTAAGCGGGTTGGGGGAGAGACAGGGGGGTAAAAGATACACGCGTGCTCTGACGGGGGATATATCATCAGTTGAATGTCCCCACTGCCAAGTTCCATCGAAATCCAGCTGATGTGTTTTCCTGTCATCTCAGTAAAAGTCTGGATTGGATGATTGGCAACAGTCTACCGCCACTTCTGCTCCAAGGCTTTGGGGACCGAAGCAGCAAAAATAATACTCTGGACCCCTTGCAGCTCGCCCGAGGATGCTTCGCCCTCAGTCACGCACCCCGGGGTGGAGGGAGTAGTGAGTGGGTTCTTCCTCCCGGGTCTGTGCTTCATGGCTTAGTGTGAGCTGGATCTGAGGAGAGAAAATCGACCACTGAGTGCCCAGAACGAGTGTGTGGGGTTTAGCTTATTTACAGCAACGTCTGGTTTAGTTAGCGTTACAGAAGAATGAAGAAGTTGTGGCCCGAATAAGTGAAGTTCACCTTGAGGTGGAAAACTTTCAATTTTAACCACTTCTATTGGAAACCTTTCCAAAACACTCCCGTTCTGCTGCTGTTGCTGTTTTGTGTAGTTCTCTTAGTTTCTTTCTTTTTTTCTCCCTGGATAGAAACATCTTATCCCTTTTGATACTTAAATAGAAGATGCTAAATTTGTTAACTTTTTCTAGAAACTTGGGGTCAGCATTATTAGCATTCAATACTGAACTGCATGGAAAAACTGCTCTGAGTTCGTCTGAATCTTCCCTCAATGTCAGGCTGTCAGATAACACTCTGCCTTGTACCCCCTGCTCCCATCCCCACAATAGACACCTACACCTTGCCACCCAGTTTAAGAAAAAGAACATCACTCTTACCCAGAATCCCCTGTGACACTCTCCCATTCTTTCCATTACCACCATCCTGAATTTTGTGTTTCTCCTTTTCTTGTTTGCTTTTTAATAACAGGTTAAATATTTACTATATATACTTATATCCCTAAATATTACATTGTTTAGTTTTCTGTGGTTTTGAATTTTATAGTGCTGCTGTGATTATGCCTACATGTGATCTCAGCACACAACTGGGAGAATTTCTCTAGGTATATACTTAGTGGAATTGCCAGGTCATAAATACTTGCATCTTCAACTCTAAAAATAATGCCCTATTATTTTCTAAAGTGGATGTACCAATGCATACCCCCTCTGTCAATGGATGGGCTTCCTTCGCTTGTCCACTTCTCTACTGGTGGAACAATAGCCTTGTCTGAGTTTAAACTTTTTGCAAATCAAGTGAGTATACAACGAGTATATAATACCCTACTATGGTTTTAATTAGCATTTCCCTGATTAGGAATGAGTTTGAGCGTCTTTTCAAGTATCTGTTGTGCATACATATTTTTTCTTCTGCAAAATGTGTCTTGCTTATTTTCCTATTGAGTTGCTGTTTATGGATCTTTTTTTTGAACAGCTTTATTAAGATATAATTCACATACAATTCACCCATAATGTGTCTAATTCAGTGGCTTTTAGTAGATTCAGAGTTTTATCACCACAATCAATTTTAGGACATTTTCACTGAAAGAAAAGGAAGCCCCATACCTCTTAGCCATCACCCTCACACATTTCATTCCCCAGCCCGAGGCGGCCACTAATCAACTTTCGGTCTCTATAGATTTACCTTTCTGGACATTTCACATAAATGGAATCATATGTGGTCCTTTGTTATTTTGACTTTGGGGAAGAGCCAGAAGT